TAAACGACGTAAATTCCTCTTTTGCACGCCCTGGAACAAATGCGGTTAAAAAGGGTTTGGGCCCAGGTGCGGGTTAAAACGTGGCGCACAAAATCTAACCCGCCACAGGACCCCGGGGGGGGGAAAGGACGGAAAAAGGGAGGGGGAGGTAGAGGAGGACATTCCCGGGTTTGTTTCCTTTTTTTTGTATGGGGTGTTTTGGGTTTAAAGGGGCCTCCCTTTAGCGTCCCAGGCCCCTAATCTCCCAGGGGCCCCCCCGTACCAAATTTCCTCATTGTGCTGCCAGGGCCCCCCGGTAATCTGTCATGGGCCCCTTACTGCCTCCTCATGCTGCTTGCCAGGTCAGAGTGTGTCATGGGTCCCTGTACGGCCTCACATTGCGGCTGTCTCCCATCGGGCCACACTCTGCATGTGCCACTTTCAAGGTCTCCTCTCACTGCTGGTGGTTTCCATTTTGTCATGAGGGTGCTGTATGGCCTTCCCATTGCTACTGCCTCCACCGCCACACTGTGGCTCCACACTCTGGTTTTGGCCCCAGTGTCTGCCCAAATGAGTGTAGTAGTAGCGGTGATTCTAGAGTGTCGACTGGCACCTCATCTGGCAATGTCATTGCCTGACCTGTCAAGTATTCTTTTCTCTTACCCCAGCAGACTCATAAGGCATTTTAAATTAAAGGTACAGTGTTTCTGGCACTAAATATAAAGGCTCTCTGGAAGACTAGAAAACACCCTTTTTATAAGTTAAATTCGCAGCGAATATATTCGACTCGAATCGAATTTTTTCCACGGAATTCGCCCCGAATTATCAGTCGAATCGAAATTTTTGAATACTTCGCTCATCTCTAGTGAAAAGAAAAAACCAAGTCTCCTCTCGGCTTTGGACCTGTATCTTGAGAGAGAGAGTGGAATGCCACCCCATGTTTGATATTTTGATGTGATCTAGCTGTTCACAAACCAAAAAAAAAAAATTATTTGCTATACATACCAGTATCTCCCAGAAGTGAGTTACCACCACTCATCTTCTTTTTCAGTGTGGAAGAAGTTATTCTTGTGCTACAATGTGACGTAGTCAGTGTACAGCTGTTGTATAACATGTAACATTTGCTGTCCCCTCAATATAAAATCAACTACTACCGCCATTAATGTCTAAAACCGCTGGCAAACAACAAGTGAGTCCAACCCTTCAGTGACAAGGTCCAAATTGTGGGGGCCAGAAGTGTCATTATTCTTGTCGTGGTCGCCATTATTTTCCCAGCACTGCCTTAACCCTCTTGGGCACATGGAGTTCAGCAGAGCTTCACAGGTTGCCACAGGTTGTCCTCTTCCACTCCTCCTTGATGTCATCACGGTGCTGCTGGTAGATGTTAGAGACCTTGCGCTCCTCCACCTTCCGTTTGTTGAGGATGCCCCACAGATGCTCAATAGGGGTTTAGGTCTGGAGACATGCTTGGCCAGTCAATCACCTTTACCCTCCAGCTTCGTTAGCAAGGGCATGTGGTCGTCTTGGAGGTGTGTTTGGGGTCGTTATCATGTCTGGAATATTGCCCTGCGGCCCCAGTCTCCAATGAGAGGGGATCATGCTCTGCTTCAGTATGTCACAGTAACATGTTGGCATTCATGGTTCCCTCAATGAACTGTAGCTCCCCACTGCCGGCAGCACTCATGGCAGTCCCAGGCCATGACAACTACCACCACCATGCGTAGACTGTAGGCAAGACACACATTTCCACTTAGGGGGGGGAACTCACTTTTGTTGCCAGCGGTTTAGATTATGAATGGCTGTGTGTTGAGTTATTTTGAGGGGACAACAAATTTACATGTTATACAAGCTGACAACGTCACATTGTAGCAAAGTGTCATTTCTTCAGTGTTGTCACATGAAAAGATTAGAACAAAATATTTACAAACACGTGAGGGTGTTGGACTCACTTCTTGTTGAGATACTGTATATATATATATATATAATAATTTTTTTTCCTGCACTGTCACCTTGTCACATGAGCTTTCAATGGTGACTACAAGTGGTAGATTAAACACCCTCTGCAAGTATGCCCAGCTGTTGGTGACCATCAGCAAAATGGCCATTGCCCAAGTGCACGTAGGCTGGAAAAAAGATTCAAGGAGGCTGCAGGAGATCAGCAGCTATGAAGTGCAACAAGTTTTCAAATGTCATTCAGTTAGGGTTTTACATCCACTTTCAAAACTATCTAAAGTCAAAACTGCAGCATCAGTGTGAGTTTGCTCTAAGACCGAGAACTGAGCGATCACATGACCGCTGATTGCTCAGTTCTGTCAGTCTCTGCTCTCTTGCTCTCCTCCACTGGAGTATTGGGAGGGGAAAGGGAGGGTTCATTGCAGGGGTGGACTGACAACTCATGGGGCCCCCAGGCAATAGGGGATCATGGGGGCCCCTGTGTCAAAGCACATCCTAAAAAGTCTATAAAAAAGGTAACAAGGGTATTTCATGGGGCCCCCTACTGACCCCGGGCCCTCGGGCAGTGCCCGAGTGCTCTCGAGTGGTGAGTCCGCCCCTGGTTCATTGAGAGGCAGAGCCAGAGCCCAGAGGCCAGTCAGGCAACTGGGTGGATCCCAACAATATTGTCAGGATCCTTCCAGAGCCTGGAGAGGCTTTGTCACATCAGTTGACAGCGGACAATAGCCCGCTATTAGTTGATCTGGGTCACAGGAGTGCAATTGCGCTCTTTAGACTCTAAAAAGAAGTACGGTCAGAAAAGCTTTGGCCATACTTCTGACACCTGTCAGGTTTTTCATTTTTTTGCTGTCCCCTGTTAGGGAGATTCAACCCCTCTATTTGTTCTGTTTACCATTATCACCGAAAGTGAAAGAAAATCACAAATTTTAGGTTGTCACCAGAACATAAATAAAGAAGAGATCTGCCAGTGGGGACACTAGTTCTGGTGACAACCAGGGATTCTCTCACTCTCACTGGAGGTATTTCTGTTAAAGTGTTACCCTCCCTATATCTGGTCTCCCCGGACCCTGCATTCACTACATATAGTGTCTCCAGACCCTGCATTCACTATATCTGGTCTCTCCAGACCCTGCATTCACTATATCTGGTCTCCCCCGGACCCTGCATTCACTATATCTGGTCTCTCCAGACCCTGCATTCACTATATCTGGTCTCTCCCGGACCCTGCATTCACTATATCTGGGCTCTCCAGACTCCCCGGACCCTGCATTCACTATATCTGGTCTCCCAGACCCTGCATTCACTATATCTGGTCTCCCCCGGACCCTGCATTCACTATATCTGGTCTCCCCGGACCCTGCATTCACTATATCTGGTCTCCCCGGACCCTGCATTCACTATATCTGGTTTCCCCCGGGCAATATGGGATCATGGGGCCCCTGTGTCCTTGCCCAAACTCAAAAAAAGCCTATGAAAAAGGTACCAGGGGCATCTCATGGGGCCCCATACTGACCCCGGGCCCTCGGGCAGTGACCGAGTTTCCCAATGGTCAGTCCGCCCCTGCCCCAGACCCTGCATTCACTATATCCGCTCTCCCTGAACCCTGCATTAACTATATTTGGTCTCTGCATTCACTATATCTGCTCTCCCCGGACTGTGCATTCAGTATATCTGATCTCCAAGGACCCTGCATTCACTATATCCGGTCTCCCTGGACCCTGCATTCACTATATCTGGTCTCCCCGGACCCTGCATTCACTATATCTGGTCTCCCTGGACCCCACATTCACTATATCTGGTCTCCCCGGACCCTGCATTCACTATATCTGGTCTCCCCCAGACCCTGCATTCACTATATCTGCTCTCCCCGGACCCTGCATTCACTATATCCAGTCTCCCTGGACCCTGCATTAACTATATCTGTTCTCGCTGGACCCTGCATTCACTATATCTGTCTCCCCAGACCCTGCATTCACTATATCTGTTCTCCCCGGACCCTGCATTCACTATATCTGGTCTCCCCGGACCCTGCATTCACTATATCTGGTCTCCCCAGTACACACTGCAATGCAATTATTTGTAAATATAAACTGCTAAATACCTTTTCTCATTCACAGTATAGGTCTCTCCATCTTGTGACCCTGCAGTTCACTATATTGGTTAATCTTCGGACCCTGCATTCACTATACTGTCCTATGAGTCTGCATAACCCCTGCCGTCTGTCTAGATTAGTGCTGATTGACCCTGTGCTGATCACAGCCCTACTCCCAAAGGAAAAAAATAACTCTTAGCAATAAACTGATATGTGCAGAGTGACTCCTAAAGCCTTTTCTATCAGCAGTGATAGGGACAGTAGAAGAAGGACTTCTATCAGAGAAGACAGGATGAAACATCCTTTTTAATCAATGCAGAGGTGTTTTTATTCGGCCTAGGTGTCCTAGTGAGTCTGCATAACAAGCATGCCGTACTGTCTAGACAGACTGATTTTACTGTGTGGGTTTAGTAAATGCCCTTAACTTCCAATATGGAAAGGAAGTGAAGGGAAAACTCCCTGGAACGCAAGCGGTTATAACTGAGCTCTATCCAAAGTGACAAAAATAAATGGCTTTTAGTTCTGCTTTCAGATATTGGAAAGCCTTTTGGGGTTATATAATACAGTAAAAAGAAAGCCCTTTTATGTCAGGATCAAACATCCTTTTTACACAATGCAGAGGATTAACCCCCTAGGTTCCACAGTGAGTATAACAAGCATGCTTTACTGCATAGACAGACTGATTTTACTGTTGTGGGTTTAGTAAAGCATTAACTTCCTGTTTTGGATATGGAACAGGAAGTGAAGGGAAATCTCCCCAATGGAACGCACAGCGGTTATAACTCTCCTTTGCTCTATCCAAAATGACAAAAATAAATGGCTTTTAGTTCTGCTTTGATATTGGAAAGCCTATTTGGGGTTATATATAATACAGTAAAAAGAAAGCCCTTTTATGTCTTCTCAGGAAAAAGAATCACTAGCCGTGATAAAATGAGCTCTTATGGAATTGAAAAGAAGTTTTATGTTCCTGAAAATGGTCTCATTTCACAAAATGATGGGTGCAGCCTTTCTGGTTGGAGAATGCGCGAGCTTCAAATACCTCTCCCAAAGGCAGAGCAACATTTCTACATATCAGGCGGCTAAAGAAGTCCAGAGCGCTGTATGCTTTATGGCTTTGCTGCTGGAATGTGTATACACATGTGTTATAAGGAAAGTTTTAAATATAGTTCTCATCGAGATACGTGCAAAGCAGGGGCGGACTGACCATTTGGAAACTCGGGCACTGCCCAAGGGCCCGGGGTCAGTAGGGGGCCCCAAGAGATGCCCCTGGTACCTTTTTCATAGGCTTTTTTGAGTTTGGGCAAGGACACAGGGGCCCCATGATCCCCTATTGCCCGGGAGCCCCATGAGTTGTCAGTCCGCCCCTGGTGCAAAGTGACTTTGTATTCTCCGTGCATTGGGTACGGCGGGGAAAGAATAGCCCTTCAACATTTTTTTGATGCGTTATCGCACGTTGCGTCCCATGTTAAAGTGCCTATGCATCCCAAGGTGCCAAAAATCAGACTTGACCCTTTTTTGCAATGTACCCTTGAGGTGTATTGTGATGTACAGTGCCTTGAAAAAGTATTCATCCCCCTTGACATGTATCACATTTTGTCACGTTACTACCAAAAACGTCAATGTATTTTATTGGGATTGGATGTGATAGACAAACACAAAGTGGCACATAATTGTGAAGTGGAAGGAAAATGAGAAATGGTTTTCAACATTTTTTATAAATAAATATCTGAAAAGGGTGGAGTGCATTTGTATTCAGCTCCTTTACTGTGATACCCCTAACTAAAATCTAGTGGAACCAATTGCCTTCAGAAGTCCCCTAATTAGTAAATAGAGTCCACCTGTGTGTCATGAAATCTCAGTATAAATCAGCTGTTCTGTGAAGCCCTCAGACGTTTGTTAGAAAACATTAGTGAACAAAGAGCATTATGAAGGCCAAGGAACACACCAGACAGGTCAGGGATAAAGTTGTGGAGAAGGTTAAAGCAGGGTTAGGTTATAAAAAATATTGCAAGCTTTGGCCATCTCACGGAGCACTGTTCAATCCATGAGAAGTCATCTAATTAGTAAAT